GGCCTGTGGGGTGTCCTCCCAGGGCCTGTGGGGTGTCCTCCCAGGGCCTGTGGGGTGTCCTCCCAGGGCCTGTGGGGTGTCGTTTTATCACAGATTCGGACTTGTTCATGGCTGTTAGGTTAATTGTATGAATATATGAGTAAATGTACCACATTTGATCACATGATCAGTGATGGTAGAGAAATGCATAAATGTCAGTCCATATGAAGTTGACATAATTAGAACCATGAGGAGGGTGGATGTCTCATAGAGGTCCTATTACTGGGGAATACCAGCTCTTTTGACCAATAACAGGGTTCAGAGAAGGACCTAATGACTGTCTAGTGCTGGCAGCTGTAGCAGTGCATAAAGTTGATAAGGTGGGGTAGTGTTTGCCATGGAAGATCAATGTAATAAAAGGGCTCAATGAGTTAGGCACATTAGTGTTATAACTAATGTTTGACCATATTTCAAACTGCAATCACATTAATATCTTGCCATTTGTGCTGACATAATTGACATGAATAGTGCTACTTCTAATACGGCGCTATCATAAAGTTTGTTTGTGCTTTTATCCTGTCAAACAAGCTTTGATTTGTCAGGAAATTGTTTTTTGAAAGTTTTTGGAACCAGGGCACTGAAATGTTCAGTAGAGATGGCTTACTGCCCAGTAGACAATGAGAATTGGGGAGATGCATTTCCACTGGGTCCTCCCTTTGACTCATCTGCCTTCTCTCTGGTCTCAGCAGGAGATGCATTTTCTCAGACCTTTACCTCCCATCTTATCCCCCCTGCTTATTTCCTGTCCTCTCCAGGTGTTCCTTCCCCTCTGAGCGTCAGGCCCGTCTGGAGGCAGTACGTGAAGCCTTCTTGGCAGCCTACAGCTCCACTGTCGGCCTCAAATCCACAGCTCCCAGCCCCTCTGGTGCCATCTCCGGCCTGCTGGAGCAGTTTGCCCGTGGGGTGGGCCTCCGCGGCAGTAACGCCATCGTCTGAGCCTCTTGATGGGACCCTGGACCCTCCTGCTTACATCAGTTGATTCAGCATGTCTGTGCCAAACAATCCCCTCCAATTTTAGGGGTGAAGCATTATTTTTTAATATTTTAATATATTTTTTATTTTTTAACATGCCCTCCATTTTATTTTATTTTTCCCCTGTGGACTTTAAATGTCTGAGGTTTTTGTCACATTCAGGAAGGGAATGGTTTCAAAAAGGGATGGTGATAGATTTAGAGGTCTCCTGTTATTACAGTGTAAAGAATTCTGCCTTGGCCTGTTTATAGATTTGTAACTCCATGTCCAGTAAACAATATCACTTGATTTCTTTTGCTTATGCTGCTGTCTTCACTGATCCAAACAGTTCTGTAGTTCTACTGGGCAGTAGAAATGAGACAAGAACTTGATGGGTCCCCCCCCCCTCAAATTGTCTCCTAAAAACAGAAAAGATTCGATGCTGTTCAGATTTTGAATCTGGCTCAGTACTTTATCCGATCTGTTTTACTGCATAGAGCTTCATATTTGTGGGGGTCTAAAGTTAAAGGGCTTTTGGTGTTGACGTTCCCATACAGGAAACGTTTAGAATAGTTGACTCCTGCGCTTTTTGATTTTTTTGTTCCCCCAATGACCCATGAAAGCTTTAGCTGAAAGACCTTGTATAGTCTGACCTTTGTCAACTTGGTTTAAAGAGGACTCTATTATGCTGCTTTCTTATTTTACGAACTACTCAATGCCAGATATTTGGTGCCTTGAAGTGGAACAAAATAATATTGGACAATAAAAACTTGGTAAAAACTGAAATTTTTCTCCAACAATGCAGTTTGGCTTTTGTTGGCACCATTAACTGAACAAGCCAAATGCTGTCTATTTGGTTATTACTCTGTTTGAACCTCTACTTTGACTGGTGGAAACAGGACTGTGGCCAAAAGGCTGGTTAAGACCAGTTATCAGCAACAGTCTTTTGAACGTTTCAAGCTGACAGCGAGACACTGCAGAGGTTATCGCTCAAGTCAAAATGCTAAGGTGTATATGGATGCATTGCTTTTAAACTCTTGTCCAGGGAAGCTCGATATCATACTACATGCAAATAAATTAGTCTGACAGATCGAATTATTTGCTTTGTAATTTTTATAGGAAACGCTTAAATTTCAGGAGCTAAGATTTACATTAACCCTTTTTTTTGGGTTGAGTAGTTGCAAGAAAAAAACTGACCTTAGATTTATGTGATACTTTAAACTTTTATAGAAAAAGACTAAATATAAGGACTGTTCCGTCATGGCTCTCACAGGGTTGATTATTATTATTATTATTATTATTATTATTATTATTATTATTATTATTATTATTTTTCTTTTAACCTTGCCAATTACAGTATCACCATATTGACTCATATCTGTTAAAGGTTTAGTGACTGTGAAGAAGCACTGAGCATTGTGGTAGCAGATATGAACTAAAGGCCTTTTCGATGTTTCTCGTCCCTCCAGTGAAGGGAGGTCTGCTTCATTCCTGCCAGTACTGAGATTCCTGCCCAGCTATTATCACATTCACCTCCTTTCAGGTCACACGGGGACTTTCCTGCCCACTCAGTTGGGTCAGTTCATACTTAAGTTGTAAACTAGCCTATCGGTGTTGCCAAACTGTTTGACAGTTGCTGTACCTCAGGGCCTTTCTGTTGTGCCTTTTTTCTTTTTCTTTTTTTTTTTTTTGTCCCGCCTCTTAATTTAGCACTGGATGAGTCTTCTGTCCAGTTTCAGGTATATTTTCTGTTAAATGTGTGCATTTAATTTTTAAACATTTTTGTTAAAGAGCTTTGTCTTAAGAGTTGACTGCAGTGAAACCTGTGAGGCTTTCATGTGGTTGCGGTTTGTACAATGACATAACGCTGAGTTTTGTGGAGATGTTGGATATCGGGCAGCAGTCTTTCAGTTCTGCCTCTGTAAATGGCAGTTGCTGAAAATGACTGGTATCGTAATTTTTATTTTTTTTATGAATATAATATCCTCTTGGGAATTTTGGGAAATGTACTCAGGATTGAGATGAAAAGGCTGGCACCAGTGTTTCTGGGATAAGTGCAGCGCTACAACAGAATGTCTAGCCATGATTTGGATCAAGAAAGATTAAATCTTAGTTTAAAAGAAGACTTTAGCGCTTTGTTATATAGACGGTCTTATAGGAGAGTGGAACAGCTTTGAACTTTTATTTTTTT